AGAAGGGCAATACATCCACCTCACTTCATCTTATCATGAAGGCATTGTGTCTTCTCACAGCATCAAAAGCAGAAAGGTGAGTGCAGCACAATAAGATAATTTTGATGCTCTGACCAGCGTGGCTGAGTTGGCTGGACATCGTCCCACACAGTGAAAGGTTGCTGGTTTGATTCCAGGTCAGGGCATATGCCTGGGTTGTGAACCAGATCCTTGGCTGAGATACATGCGAAAGGCAACTGATTGATGTTTCTCTCCCTGTCTTTCTCCCTGCCTTCCCCTTTCTTCAATAAACAAACAAAGAAACAAACAAAATAATCTTTAAAAGATATTGAGACACCACATTCACATAACTTTTATTACAATATGCATTTATAATTATTATACTTCATTATTAGTTATTGTTAATCTCTACTGTGCCTAATTTATAAATTCAGTTTTATCATAGGTATGTAGGTACAGACAAAACCAGTATATGTAGGGTTTGGTATTGTCCATGGTTTCAGGCATCCAGTGGGGGTTTTGAAACTTACGCCCTGTGGATAAGAGGTGACTACTGTACCCCATTAAGAGAAACTGCCAGGGCCTCTCCTTCATTTATTTTTCCTTTTTTTTTTTTCATTAAGGTAATGTGAATAGGCAGAGAAATATTCTTTATGGAAAGATTCATTAGATAAGAATAATTACATTGGGCTTTTTGGAGAACAATATTAGGCTTTTGTCTTTTTCTTGCTTCAAACCCATCTCTTTCAGTTGTGGCTTTGAGTTAACTTTTCATTACACCCAGCGATCACTGTTTGTTGTTGTTTAAATCACCGAAGAGTGTGAAGTCAGGTGAATGCAAAATTACATGAATACCTACCTTGAAACTTCCCTGATTTGAATTCTCTAGACTGTGAATTAGTCATTGGAATGGATTTTTCTCCGATGCCAGGTGTTTTGGATTGGAGTTCAGTCCCTGGAGCACTGCATTGGAAGGATTTGGGAGGAGCCTGGCCACAACAGGAAACCATGCTCTTGGAGATTAGAGATTGGTCATGGGCAAAAGAAAGTGGACTGGTGTGTCGAGTCCCAGATATTTATCTTGCATGGTCTAAAATGATACTTAATACTATTTCTTGACTGTGAATTTAGCATTCTTCTCTAGGACCACAGAGTATCTGGGCTGTGAGATTGGAAGCGGTACAAATACAGCTTGAAAAGTGAAACCAGTAGTCTCCCCTTCCTGCACACTCCTCTGATTCTCACTTCCAATATCGGACAAAGGTCATCTGGGTTGTGAAAGTGTCGGTGGCGACAGCAGCAATTTCAGCCGGCACCCTGAACTGCAGGTGGAGGTGGGGAGTCCAGTCAGTGAGGCAAACAGACTTCCCTAAATGTGTGAGCACGGCTGTGCCGTGGGAAGGAAACGGAGAACTTTATCATGAGTAGCGTTATGTATGGGGCTGATGATCAGTTTAATATGTATATAATGTTTAAGAGAAGGGTATCCAGCATGTTATTGAGTAATAGTGTAAGTACCTATCTAAGAATATGAGTCCGTTTTGGGAAAGGGAATCTCCATTTTCCTCCATTTGAGGAAAATGGAGATTGGACTGAGGCGGAGAGGAGAATTTGGGTGCAGAGGCCTAAACATACCTTTCTCTTAACTGCTCTGTAAGCTGTCCTAATATCGCAGAAAAAATCGTTGCAATGATATGATTATTACTTGTTTTTTTATTTATCGAAGAAAATTTAAAACTCCCATTTAAATATAAGTTAAATTTGGAGCCATACAGTGTACAATGGTTGTGGCTTTGATATATATCACTACTTTATTACATTTTATCATGTTTGGGTTCTTAAGGGGAGGAACAGAGGAAATGGCATTTTTACTTTTTAAAAGTTTTAAAATATTTTCTGTTAAGATAACATGAGTCACATCTATTGGAGTGAACATAGGTTGCTAAAACTTCTAAAGCAATTTTTGCTATAGTTGTAGGGGAGAGAAAAGTTTCCCCTCCTTTCTGCGTATAGTTCGTTTGGTTGGTCCAATAAGTAAATTGACATGAGACAGATTAACAGGAGAAAAGAACCAAAATTTATTATGTATGTACATATTTGGGTTCTGAAAGAATATGGGGCTGAGGACAAATTAGGCAGTTGGGACTTATATGCCATTGTGAGCTAAGAAGAGAGTGGTTTGGACTTCAAAGAGAAGGTGGTTAATTCACAGGTAGATGAGAAGCAGCGAAACATTGGGTAACAAACTCTTCTCAGCCACCCAGAAACAATGGGACACCCAAGGGACTCGAATAGACTTTGCTAGGTTTCTCCCTGTCTGCCACACTTAGTTTATAACAGGTTAAGGTGAAGCTCCTTTCCTTTCAGCAGGGTATTCTATCTGAATCCTTTCTTGAAAATAACCAGCTGAAAAGAATCAATATCTTAAAAAGGCATGTATTGGTATGGCAAACTCTTTTCCCCCTTGTAGTAAATGAGAGAAAGTGTGTGTGTGTGTGTGTGTGTGTGTGTGTGTGAGCACAAGCATCTTCTTGGTCAGAGTACATGCACAAAGAAGCACACTTTTTATTGCAGTAGATTCGGGTCATAATTTTAATGTGAACATCCAGTGGCATTAAATGGGTCAAAAAGTAAGACCTGTCCGAGGTACAAAGATGAATGTCAAGACTTAAGACTGTTTTGGTGCTCAAAGAATTTACGATCTAGTTAGGATCATAAGACATGGACAATAATTTTTTACAAAGCAATTAATGCATTGTGTTGAAAGTGTGATTTAAAAAGTTATAAAGGAATTCAAGAGAGAAAAAGATCTTTCAGCCTAGGAAGGCCTCTTGGGGAAGATGGAATTATTATGACTGAGGAAGTGGTTCTTGAGTGGCTGGTTCCCAGGCCAGCAGCAAGGGCGCCCTGGGAACTCAGAAGTGTAAATTCTTAGTCTCCACCCCAGATGTTCTGAATCATAAGCCCTGGGGCAGGCCTAGCAATTCCTGTTTGTAAGCAAGTCAGAGTTTGAGCCTTGCTCTACCAAGGAGATGGTGGCTACAGGGTGTGTTGACTGAGCTGAGGGAGAAGCAGTGACTGGCACAGAGTCAGTGTCGAGTTGAAGACTGCCGGCTGAGTGGAGGAGGCACACAGGAGGGTTTAGGGTTTCCTGTGCATTGGGTTTCTGTTTGAGGAAACTTGTTCCCCAGTGCAGTCTGATCCTGATGTCATCCAGATGTCCATTGTACCCATGTTGTCATTTTCACCTCTTACTATCCTGATCATTTAGAATGTTTGCATCATCTGGATAGGGAATAGAAATTGTATTTTTATAACAGTATTTGAAGTCTTTGGAAAATATAAAATACCAGAATTCTTGAACAGCTTCATCGATAACTACTAGGTAAATGTATATACAGTCTACATGTTGTAAAAGAGGGTTTCATATCCTTTCATCAAGTCCTAAATAAATATCTTTTAGAGACTGAAGTTTTAAAACAAAAATTTAGTCGTATACCTAAAAAGTAGGATGTGTTCCTCCTAGAGTATTCTCTATGTATTTGATAAAATTAAGTTATTTTGGCATTTTTAAAGAGCCCACCCCATCAACATTGAACTGTACTGTTTCTGCTGTGCGTGTAGACGAGGTAAGCCCTAGCCGAATTGGAGATGTTGATCTGGGGCTTCATGGGCCAGGTGTTGTTAGGTGGGTCTGGTGGTGGTGAAAGCCTTTGCTTTTGGCCTTTGCGCAGGGAGCCGCCGTACACCGAACACGAAAAGGTCCCAGGGCTTGCAGGAGTGATCTCTGATTCTCTGTGAAAGACGGAAGTTCAGGGGGGGAAAGAAGGACCCGTGGCTATACTGTGGCCATGCAGTTAGGCTTTAAGTTTAAAATGTGTTTTCTCTTTTCTGGGGAAATGAACTCATTTTTCCCTAATCTGGTTTTATGGTGGCACTACGCATGTAGCATGTTCCACGGAGAAGTCTGGTCTCTGTTGTAGGTGTGTTGTAATCTCTCTTTCTTAGGAGAGGATATATTTAAGATCTTTTGGGGCTTTGTTAAAGAAGAACTTTAGGGTAACATACATAATAAAGTCTTAAGGTAACAATGAAGACTTCTGCCGTGGTAGCATGAGATTTTTCCCACACTTGTGAAGGGACATACACGGCTGCTATGTATGAAGATGCACTTAAAATCTTCTGAAACTAAATACCCAGCCACGGCTCATCGGATGTTAGGGGTCTGTTAATGTTTTCTTCAGCCGCGTTCGAGGATAAGGAAGAGGGAAGGAATTGGGACAATCCTTTAGTTACTGTGTCAAGACTTGACCTGTATTTTTAGGGCCCTATGCTTTATTTCTTCTAAAAGAAGAACTATTTTTTCCTTGAACTCACAGTGCTGTGGAAAAATCATACTGACTCTGTAACATTATTCCTATTTTACAGATGAAGAGTGTCAATGTCAAAAGTAAAAACCGAGCTGGTCCTTGGGTTCTGCGAGGGCAGGGCTCACAGGGCTGGCACATGCCCGGGAATCAGGAATTCAGTGCAAGAGTGTGGAGGATTTATGGCTTCTCACTTATTATTCTTTTTCTTATATGTGTATGTATTTGTATAGCAGTTTAAAATATGCATTTGATGTTAAGGCCCTACCCTCCCTGCCTCACACCATTTCCTATACGTTTAGCCCTATGTTTGTTGTGCGCAACCATCTTTCTCCCTTGCCATAGGCAGAATTTTGCAGGGTTGCAGAGTAGGACCTGTCAGCTGACACTTGCTCACATGAGAGCCATTAAGAGGGTGGTGTGGCCAATGTCAGAACAACCTTGCAGCTGAAGGCAAGCCACTGCGTTTGCTCAGAGTGGTGTGAATAGGTCTTGTGACCCATTACTTGACTACCACATAATTTCTAACAGAGGAGCTCAGACGGAGTGAGGCAGTCCAAGCTGCTCAACCTGTTGAGTGCTTTTCTATTGCCAACGGGAGCACCAGCTCAGGAACAAAAGTAGGAAGTGGGATTTGGACTTTTCTTGTTTATAATGGGTTTGCTGAGAGCATGTTTTATAACATGATGGATGTATCTGACTTCCTAAATCATCGGGCGGGCTTAATTTACATAACAAATGAATGTTCCTTTTTTTTTTTCTTAAGAAAAAAACTTTTGAAAGAGGAAATTTGTGGGCTGCTGCCAAGTAGCTTCTCTCAACCTACTGTGTAGGGGATTGCAGTGATCGTTTAGGACGGCTGGTCACTGCGGAATATCCCTCAAACAACAAAGACTCTTCAACACTTGTATCTGAGTCCATGTTGATAATCAGGCTAAACCGGAAGAAGGTCAGCCTGCTTAGGAGATGTGTGGCGGCACAGCAAAGACCCCAAACGGGCCTGGGGCCCCGCAGAATTCAGCTGGTTGTGTGAGTGATGCTGTTTCTGGTGCTGGGAGGACTTACAAGACACTTTTATGCGCAAAGATTCGAAAATGTGCCAGGGTAGGAAGGGGCACCGATCACATGGAACTGGACAACAGGTTTGAAATTTTAGTTCTTTTTCAAAATCACAGTGAAATTTTTATTTAATTTGCTGTATACCAAGCAGATGAAGTTGTATTGATCTGAAAGCTGTTTTGCTCCAAGAGTGTTTCTCAGTAGGAGACCTGGGGTGGTTGGGGGGTGTACAGAAACAAGTTCTTTTCTTTGTAGACAAGGGGTAGGCATGGGTATTTTTCTTGACTATTTCTATTACCCATCTGCTTTTTTCTTAACTTTCCATTACGTTTGCCTGGAGCCAGCTTACATCCTTGTCCTGTGTTGCAGCTTGAACTATACTGTTCACGGTGATTATCAAGAAAGAATTGCAGGCCTGAAGTCCCACCACAGTTGGTACATGGGCACAAGAGTGGGGGTGCTCCCTTCTTGTTTGAATGGCGGGTGGGTGGTTGTGCTTTTCCGGTAGGAGACACGGTGAACCCATCCCTCCTCTTACAGGGAATCCTTTTTATGGGAAGGATGGTATTTTGATGAGCTGTTTTAATTATAGCACTTAACCTAAAAAGAATAACATATTTGCTATATTATTTTAGGTTGACTATTTCATTCATTCATTTCATTGGTAGTAGCTCTTAATTTAAACATTGTTTGTAAAGAATTTTATTACCTATCAATGACAAGGGAAAAACATCCTTTGAGAATTACATTTCATTTCAAATTATTGTATAGATAGATAGTAAAGAAAGCCATAAATCTATTTCTTGGTTGGTTGAAAATGTAGTTCAGGATATAGTTTCTGTCCTATGAAAATCTTTGTTTCTTTGGTACAAATTTAACAAAGCAGTGTACCTTTCACTCCAGTGTAAGGACCCAGTAGTTTGGAGAGTTTGGGAGAGGTGTGGAAATCATTTTATGGGTGTTGGGTCCCATGCTATCCATTCAATTAAAGAGATACATTTGTAGAGGATGAGGTAATGAATGATGTGGTACATTAAAAAAATATACTTGAGTGTCTAGATAAGAGCTTCACTTTTATCCTCTCCATTTTTCTGTTTCTCATCAAGATAGGACAGCTGAGGGAAAGGAAAGCAAAGGATTGACACTCAGTGTGTCTGGGTCTTGGTCTGTGCTCTGCTCTCCCTCCCCCAGCTCTGCTGCCCATGAGCCTTGTCACCTTGGGTCGGTTTCCTGGCTTGTGTGCGTCTTACTCTCAACTGGTTGTTTAGATTATTTAAAACATTCTTTCTTCCTCTGAGAGTCTAAGATGCAGCACCAGGACCTCCTGTATTCCCTGTTTTTGTTATTTGTACAATTCTAGATTCTACAAATAGGTATTTGAGGGGGAGGAGGTGGCATCCACATAAGAATATGCAGGGCCATCCTAATTATTTAAAAGAACTTACAGAGCTTTTGGTATGTACTTCTGCTGCTCACTTGCAGTGAACTTGCTATTCTTCGGTGGATTTTAATCATTCCCATTTAAACTACACTTTAAACTTAACAAAGCACATTCATATCTACTATCTCCGAACCGTATTTGAACTTTTTTAGATTTACTTCTCTGATGCTTACATTTTTTTTTAGAATTCTGCTCCGTGATGACATACACTTGTCATTTAATTGGAATTCGTTCCCAGTCAGACCAGTTGTCTTGGCAGACCTCATCCACTTTCTCTTCCCCTTCCTGCAGTCTTGAAATCGCATTCTGTATTTGCAGTGTTGCGTGCAGTTTCCTGCCCTTCTTGACGACTTGGGCCATCTTGAGGGCAGAGGGAATTATGGACAGGAGCTGCTCTGTGAGGCTCTGGTCCAGAGTGCTCACGAGTTACTTGTTTGTCCAAGTCAGGTGGCTGGCAGCTAGGTGTGACTTCCATTCCTTTGATCGTAGGTATCTTAAATCAGTAGTCTTAGGTGGTTATCTTAGCTCAGTGCACTAAGTATATTTTCAGTCCACACTGAAGCTGTACTTGAAAGTAGTTTCGACTGCAGTGGGGGTGGGCCTCCCTAGCTCTCTGCCTTGTTCAGAGGTTAACTGTAGTTTTTCTTCCCCTTTCCTAATGCTTTTTTCAGTTATTCAAAGGTGAAGATAAAGATTCCACAAATACAATGGATCAAATTGGTTGGATACCTAATAGTTGGCCACAGTGTAAAACTGACACAGTTCAGTGCAGAAAGAGACATTTTTATCTTCCCAGCTATGGTTCATGTAGAATGAAACATTTCAGGAAAGAAGTTTGTCCTCTGTATCTTCACTTCCCTTCTCCTTAATCTCTAGAATGACAGGTATGGGGGTTAAGTTCATTTCTCAAAGTAACAATCAACAAAAACCTAAAGAACTTGATGAGGCATTTTAAATGGTTTGTCAATAAAATATTCCTTGCTAAAACTCAACTGAGAGCTCATAACTCTGAAATCTGATGCTGGGTATATTGTATAGTCTTCAAATAATTGGTTCCAGTTTTCTTTCTTAAAGTGTCAACGATAGCAAAGCTACTAACACCTGGGTTTTTCAAACTTTCCCAACAAATGAGATAAATACACAGGGCTGTGTAGATGAGGAATATGGGAGTACCTGCCAAGCTTATCTGTGACCATTGTTCCTCTAACGGCAACACACTATTTGACAGGCTTGCCTTAAAGAAGTGTACCCTACGCACAGCAAAGAGGAACTGAAACAACACTTCAGAGTTAATTGTGCTTTAAGTTTCATATCTTGAAATTTGGATTCAGAAGAAATTCTTTGTACTGCTTTGGACCACCAGAATGGAAGGAGCAGAAGAAATAGTGAATAAATTAATCCGATTTATCTACAGTTTGGATGAACTAATTCTACTAAAAAAAAATGCTGTAGATTGTGGTAGCTGCTTCACGAGAAAATAAGTGTGGAAACCAGGATCTGTTTTCCCCAAGTGGCTGCTTCCCAGAGATAAACTGAACTTGATTTTTCTCCTGGTCTTTATTTGTAGCAGCTAGGGTTTCTGACTAGGAAATACAGAAATAGCCACAGATTTAGAGAGAGATGTGCTAAGGAACAGACTAAAAAATTCTGAAGATTTTAGTAAAGGGCAGTTCAAAGAAAATCTAATGCAGGTTGTGGAGGTGGGGAGAGTGTTTATCATTGTGTTCTCCACGTAGAAATACTGTGTGAAAACCACTCTGCTTTGATACTGCTTAGGAGATGTAGCTGTTGGACAGGTTGAACCAAGTGCGTAAGGAGGAAAAACAAACCCTGGTCAGCTGATGCTCTTGTGCTTCCTAACAGGCTTCACAGGGAGTTTGTACATCGCTGGGTGTGACTCTCTCAGATGCACTGGGTATCACCCGTCACAAGTTCTTCTGCCCTTTCTGCATTCCTTCCCTTTTCACTGATTTTAGGGGCCATGAGGAATTTTCTTCGGCCAGTTAAAAAAGGCTCTTTCTACCAGCTGATGGTTGGGATATAGAGATGTCATTTGAGAATGACTGACTAAATGAATGAAGGGATGCAGTGGTAACTTAGTATTGTTGCAAAGTCATAAGGGATTTAGGTGAAAAGAACATTTATCTCTTCCCTCTGAGGCCACATCTCTAACTGGGAATGAATCAGAGCAGTCTCACTCCAGGGATTTTGAAGGGGGGTGTGAACTCACTTTATAGGAACTGACAACTGACATCAACTCTTGTCTGGGTCTTATTTTAAGTATTGATGATGTAACAGGGTAAAGTCCTTGTCCTTAGTCACCGTAACTAATTGTTTCCAGAATGACAGTGTTCCAGATGGAAGACAAGGTTACTCCAGCCCCGGGGTCCACAGGCCAGTCATTGGGCCGCTTCTGGAGCCTTTTCCCCTCATGACACTGCTTGGCCGTGTGCTGGACTGGAGGACCCACTCAACGAGCCTCCAGGTCCTGGTGCTCCTGTTGTGGCTCCTGTTGTGAGTCAGCCTATGGCTTAGCCTTATCCTTTTATTGTTACAGTAACAAAAGATGAATAACTGCTGAACAGTGATGTAGCAAGCTCTGGTGGGAACTGGTGAGAGCAGTAATAACCTGTGTCGCATCTAAGATTATAGTTAAACTCCCAGTCAAAACTCAACAAACGGAATCCATCCAGCCTGTGGGCTCCAGAAACACCAAGGTTCCTGGCATCTGTCTTCCCCCTTTATGGACTACAAGTTTATATGAAATGTTGAATATCAGGTGCCCTATTCATCCATTAATGCTTATACATCAAAAGGGTTTCATCCTTCTCTTATCAATTTAGAAAGTTTTTAAAAACCCTATTTTTAGGTCTTTACAGAACAGATGTGAATTAAAGTCCTGTCTTCTCACTATGCCATTTCCTTTTACTTTTGTGCCTTACCCTGTCCAAAGGCCTGGAAAGAAAGAGAAGGGGCGGGTGGCGGGGGGGAGGGAGGGAAGGGAGGGAGGGAGGAAGAGAGGAAGAGAGAATTTAGTTGAGCTAGGATAGTTATTCCACTTACTAATTTATTTTGTAAAGTTCAACTCTCACAAATGGGACCCTGTGCCAGATATGGTAGAATCATCTTTGACCTAGGGATATATGCTGTCTTCATGAGCTCATGATCTGAGGGGCCATCTCTGCCTTAAGCTCACTGTGTCTTTGGAAACATTCCCTCAGGTCTCTGTGTTTGTTTTCTCTTCTTAAACACACACACACACACACACACACACACACACACACACACGTGGTTGATTGGGTCACTGAATCTCAAATCTGTGAGGTGTTTTTAAAAATGTAGGTTCCTGAACGTGAAGTAAATTCAGATCCATTGGATCAAATTCTGGGGGGCTAGATCCCAGAAGCTTTGTTGATTGAAAAAAAAACAAGCAAACAAAGAGTTTCTAGAGTAATTTCAATGGAGAGGTAAGTCTGAGGACCTCCAGGTAGGTGGTGTCTGAGGTCCTTTATAGCTCTAATATGATAGTCTGTTACTGACCGATGAGACCCAAAGACATAAGAAAAATATGAAGACCTTGGGTAGTCAAGGGGATCAAAACTCTCTCAGTGGTGTTGAATTTGAGTAAATTTGAATATCTAA